TAAAACGCACTAGGCATAGAATATATAGTGTGTAATCAAACAGTAGACTCCAAATTAAAAACTACATGACAATATAAATACTTAAGATCTGAAAGAAAATAAAAATGCAATGAACCTTAACCAGTATAAGTGTTGCTCACAACAGTGTGGAAGTGGCCTTTGAAGGTAAGATGCCAGTGTAGATATATATATATATATTCCTTGAGAAATAGCAATGTGCCAGAGCGATGCTGAACATTTGCAAAACGTACCAGAACTGTACACTTAGTGATTTACTAAAGACTACCTCTGGTCTTTAAGCCAACAGTAAGGAAGTTGATTTCATTTTTCTCTGACGTTTCCAACTTGACTAAACTAGGCCGTAAAAGGTCAATATATGGATCAGATAAGTCTCGCATATAGTAATTTTATATCTGCAGGGCTCACTATTTAGATTACATGAAGCTTTCAATGTACGCATTGTGATTGCTGCAAGCTACGTGGGTTCATATGCACTCTTTATATACTAGGCCCCGTTCAATGTGTAGTAAAAATCAAGTACGAAACTGTTCAAGTCGCGTGGCTCTTAGTCTCGGTTTAGTACCTGTATGTCTCTTCATCTTGACTTTCCCCGACTCGAATATCATAAGTTTCAACTGCTCTGCTACGTTCTAAAGAGTGATTAAAGTTATACTAGATAAAGTCAGTACTGATTGTTGTTGACCTCAACGTGTGTTTCGATGTACGATTCAGGACCCATTGACTGCCATTTTAAGGAATAGATACAACCGGCACTAAAGAATGATTGGATTAGACTTTAGGTTTATTTCACAGACATTTGTGCGCAGCGAGATTGGATGTCTTTCCCTAAGCTTCATCTAGCTTTTGGTGTACCAGGCAGAATCCTTTCGTAAATGATTCATGTTTGGCACTTATGTATTAATAACGAGCCTTAATATAAAAGGTGCTCAGTGTTCAAATACCATATTGTATTTTAATAATCTGGGTAACCGCAAAGGAAAGAAGATAGCTATCGCATGATTGGCTATTTTCAGTGGCAAAACTCAGCAAAATATCACATTTGTTCCATTTAAAGAGTACTCCCTCTTGCACATTATCAACTAGTGAACGATTAATATTGAAAAGACGATAGCAACAGTAAAGTTAACGCACACAATTCTTGGTAAGTTTTTGGGTAAAATATAGTTGACCGTCTACACGTATGAAAGCTCTATTTTAAAATATCACTGACGAAACATCAGACAAAAATTGTTCTGTGGAAACTCAGTGATTGAAATCCGATTACAACGATGTCCCACTCGAAAAGCTTATCTGATTTTCTCTCTAAAGATCACTGAATTTACCCAGGACTAATAATATGCAATCATTTTCAGACTGTGGTTGCTTTGTTTGTGTGATTGTGAGTTCCCAAGTAACCAGTAAAGGGGAAATAGAGGGAACGAAAGTGTAAATAATGGGAAAATGTCGCTTTTTCACCCTCACGTCGTGTATTGGGGGATATTTGTCGACAATTGTACGTAACGTTCCGTGTTTGAATATGTCGCATCTCGTACTGATGTTCTCATAAACGTCGACAAAATAAGGCACCGTTTAATAAAAAACAAAACTATTGCCATAGACACAAGTAGAAAATACGGACATAGGGATTCGCCTGAGACGCATATACACTGACTTCATCTTTTGGTTCACTGAAGTGTTCCGACATGTTTGGAAGCCAACACAAATAACTAACGTGATGCAGGTGAGTGATGTGCTCTTAGTTTTTCATGTTCATTATAACTAATCACCTTGTTATTTCAATACTATGAGTTCAATTAAAGTCACTGAGAGTGGTCGTAGAAGTAGGGCCACTATTAACTTGTCAAGCGTCCCTGACTGTCCGAGACTGACCTATAGCAAACGGTGGAATAAAATGCGTACAGCTTTGATGAAAAAACATTACTTGCTTTCGTTTAGTCAGTTTGCTAATGAAAGCACAAAGGTAACTGACTTTAACAGTGGTCTATGTTTAATTGATTGCAGTCGAGTGAGAAATTAATTGTAGTGAGAGTCCTTCAACTGTTACACCACCCACTAGGTACAGCAATCAAAAGCTTCTAGATAATAATCGTATGTTTATGAAGTGAATACCTTAACATATTTCTTATAGGGTGCAATGACGTTAATTTGTGCTCTCAGAAGTTAGTAAAGAGCAGAGCAACAATCTATTGATGAACTTAATTACAACAACCTCTCTGAGCATCAGAGATGCCGATCGGATTCTGAATGTTTTCCGAGTTCTTGTAACGGACTTACCGAGCAGCATCAGAAGTGTCCTGAGGACATGCACACGTGTCTAACCGAAGTTTATCAGCAGTGGGATTTAATACCACCACGGATTGAAAACCAATCTGCTAAGATATGCTGAACTTTGGTTGTGTACTTTTGATTTTGATACTTCAAATTTTTATATTAATGTAGATGGACTTTCGATGTCCAGGGGCTCTAATCAACATTTATGGCTTATATTAGGATGAATCGTTGCCCCAAAGTTTGGTTACGTGTTCATGATAGGGATGTACGGAGGTAGTAGTTCCACACAGTTCGACACATGACTGTCAACATTAGAATCTAAGCATGTAGGCTGTGCTTCAGCAGCTCAGTAATTCACCTATACGATCAAATGAAGTTTATCAGATTTGATAGGTTGTATACAATGGTGCAGAACATGTCGTCAGCTACCACTGACTTGAGTACAAATGTAAAGCTGTTAATAGCGAAGTTCAGTCAACGCAAACATCCACATCAATTCGACTGCCGACCATCAAGTCAGTAGTTCCCTTTATCATCTGAAGAAGGACTGCAGACGTTTGACACTGGTTCGCAGCAGAAAGAAACAAGGGACGGATTAGTAAGTTAACCGCAATAATTTTACAGTTTGTTCGTATTAAATATGGTCATGTTAACGAGGATAATGGATGATGATCCTAAAACGTCAATGCGATATGTTTTGTCGTACCTCATGACACCCGAGGTGGCAAGTAATTTCACGCTACTTGGCACTTCTTCAAAACGAGCACTTCAGAAATGCCGGGTTTACGGCTGCTTACGAAGTAGCCTATATCTGTTATTTAAACTACAGTTGCATTAACAAATCGCTTTTTGTCATCCTCATCGAAAAAGACCTTACGAAGCTGCACGACACAAGGTTATTTTCACGATGTCAGAGACGAATTGATAAAGTGTAATAGGAGGAAACAAGAACAGGTATGTATTAGTTTAAAGTGATAATTTCCCTACTGCTCTATAGTTACAGTCAACAGTTTTAACGAACATAACCGTAAGTGAAGCTTCAAGTATCTGGCCGTGCCAAAGCATGTCATTCAGATATCTTTGTAAATTATCTCGTTCTTTACACTTTAGAATTCACAGGAAGACTGTTTTTATTCTCAGTAGCCGAACATGCGTGACTAAAGGAATTAATCCGTGAAATGTTTCTTATGTTCTACCTGTTTTTTAATAAACATCATTTTGTAAATGAGCTTAACTTCATACTTACATCAGAAACCATTTAAGTGTTGAGAAAAGGTGTTTGATTGTCAGGGAACTTGCGATTAAATACACATGCCTTATTAATAATACATCACCTATTTCTTCTTTTGCAGATCTTTTCAAATAACAATGAATTGGCAATTACAATGAAAATGCATAACGATTGATGCTCAAGCTTCTGCTGTAATGTTGTGCAATATTACGCTTCTCCTTTTCAATAAAATTATTCAAACATATACCATTTTTCCCGTCGATGGAAGTTTTATTGTGGTTTGTTGTGGGGATAAAGGCGAACATAGGGGGCCTTTTAGGATATGTCAATGGTATTTTAAAAGTTGAAGCAAAAGCAGACAATTCAGCGTATATCTAGGCGAAAAGTAGAAAATTTAGCGGACATTTAGATAAGAAGTAGACAAGTCAGCGACATTTGAGCGAAAGAGCGACAAAAAGGAGGAAATTCTCATTATTTTCCCCTGGTGAGGCGAAAAAGTAGACATTTTGACGCGTTTCCCCTTTATTTATTATTGAAATCTGAAGACACTTTAAAAAACTTGCTTTCGTCTGGCCTAGTTATAAACCCATATCAACGAGCTTATCTGGGACTATGTCATCTGAGAACCAATTCTCCACAACGATGACAAGAACTAGAATTCCGTAGTGGTATAATCCAGCGTAGATTATGATATATTCCGATTACAGACTATAAATGTAGACAGTATTTGACTTAGAGTTCAGTTAACGCAATCACAAGTGAATGTAGAACGAGAGGTATGTGCACAAAAATGTATTTGTTAGCAGTCAAAAGTGTGTCATGCTATAAATGTAATACAACGGAAAGTGAGTTCAAGGTCATACACTTAATGATAAATATACATGCAGTGAAAAATTGACAAAATAAATACAAATAACATCAAAAACTATTTACAAAATGAGCTTGTCAGGCATATCTTCACAAGTATCTTATCAATACGAATTGGAATGTACTATAACAGAATGAAGCTTTTAAGTTAGGACACAGCACTGTGGTTTCAACGGGCATCTATGCAAATCAATACGAAACATAAACCAGTTGATCAAATGAATAGCTAAACAGCATCACAACACAAGCTAATAACCAAATGAAGGATGAATATAGAAAGTACATTGCAGACTAACATAATTAAAATTTAGTTCTTCGGAAAAAAATATATGAGAAAAATCGATATATTTAATCCATAAATACCGATTTACCTCGATAAACCATATGTCAACAGAACGCTTACCAATGGACATTCTCGATGGTTTCATCAAATGACCATGTTAAAGAAATTGGATTATGATGGACTTCTGGAGAAAATAAATCTACAGAGGAACTCAAATAAAACGGCGTATTTAGAATTCATTAAGTATTTTTAGAGTTTAGAAATGTTAATATACCAAAACTTCATGAAGTTTTAGTTTGTTTTATTGTATAAGAAAACATTTGGTGACCTTGATATCTATAACGATTTTTTGAGAAAATTTAAAAATGAACAAAAATTGTCAAAACAATTTTTATTATTTAGTAAGCTATTCGGAGTGAAGATTGTAAATATCATCTCTATAAATAAAGCATGGACTATTCGCGAGTCCCTGATAAGGCTGTTAAACTGTCTGAACTACTGGATCTAGCTCTTGGAACACCTGATGTAATAGTTATAATATAAATCATAAATTTATTTTAGCCAGGGTCGGTTAACTTCGGAATATTGTATATCATTTTATCACATATAATAAAGCACCTCAAACTCAGCGATGTGGAGCCAGATGTAGAGAAACCTTCAAATGAACCACGGTCACAGAATGAAGCAAAAATATCAACTTCTGAATTGGCCCCAAATATATTCCATAATATTCAAGTAAGATTGGATTTATAAGTTTCACTTTTTTATCGTAAAATTTTATACTTGAGATCATTCGACTACCCTCAAGGAGCTTCTTATGGAGCCACTGTACAGCTGTGTCAGTTATTAAAATCTTCCTTAAGTAGTCATATACTGTACAATTAATCAAAATCGGCTTCTGAATAAATAATTTTTGGCGAGACTATGGTTTGTGGATGAACCATTCAGGTATAAAGTAACAGGTATCGGGCTTTGGCGCAAAATTCACTAATCCATTTGAATAAATAGAGTTTTAGCATTGTAGCCGATGTCAGTTCGTGATGAAAAACCTAAATCTAATTCCTAGCCCTGACCACCAAATGTAAATCATAATCCGAAATACTCACACTAATTTATAGCCCACATTTGGTCCTAGTTGTCAGGTGGACACTTTACAGGTCAGTCTAGCGTCGCTTAAAGATTGCCCATAAATTACAGTCCCACCATATTTTCTTCGAGCACATTTTTAATTACAAAAATCAAATCAGCTCTGTATACTACACAATAAGATGGATATTTTTAGTACACATTATCAACCAGATATACGGATAATATAATAACATATAATTCACCACTTCTAGTAGATATGTATAATATTCTCTACTACAGTTTATGATTATAACAACTTCCACCCACATCAATGTATTATTAGTAAACGAAAGTCAAACAAGTGTCTTAATTCGCTGTGAATACACTTTGTTAGAGCGTGAATAATTAAATTTTATTAAATTTTTAAATCTTAAATATTTGTAGATGGATATCCAGCCAATAAACAGTTCATTTTTCAGTATCGAATTAAAATATTTGAATTCCAACTGAACTGATTAGTTTATTTGACTAATTGCTTAAAACCACATCGTAAGAAACGAAAACGGAGGCATAATAGTGTAAATATTTCGTTACGGCTGGTCAAAAAATTTATTCTAATATCTGCTTAACTTGTTGTTATTATATCTTCTCATGTCAATGTCAAGAGTCCTCATAAATTAGTTTAAATCACAAAAAATTCTTCATATATCCCCTTCTGCTTTACAAGCCGTAGGTATTTACATTTGTTAAATAACTGTCTGTTCAAAGTAGACTTTAGGGGGTTCAAATTTTATACGGTTGTTTAAACTTGATTTTTGAATGCTTTGTGTTGCATGGTATGCTTTTAAAATGAATAACATCGTTTCTTGTAAGCGCAGAGTATCGAAATAGTAACGTAGGATTAAGTATATAGCTCACATCGGGGGACATAGCTCAGAAGTAGCGCATTAAATTAGATATCGGTAACTATGAAATGATATCAAGTGGATCTTAACCCGGATTTGCTATCCTCTCGGCATTAAATTTCTAACAGTTCAATGTCTCAAAGTGTTAGAATATTCTGAAGCGGTACTCATAAATGTTTTACAGCTAAATCTTACCCAAGAAAAAACTTTTCAAGTAGATTTTAACTAAAGTTTCAAGTTAAATAAACAGTTCATGACTAGAGTTAGTTTTATTCACAATATCTTCTTAATAGGCAGTTCAACATTCCTTTGAGAGAAAATAATAATCTAATAGGAATTTTGTGGTTATTTTGTAATCGAACGCTTATTCTTTAATCACAAACCAACAAATATGATTGTCAATCAAACCTAGGATATTTAAATGATAGACCATCTTTTTATCCACTCGAAATCCAATGATGCATACCAAATAGTAGTTTTATTTAGGTCTAAAAGAATTCTAAATGCAGTAACTTGAACTGATGGGCTAATGCATTAGGTTTTACCCTTTTTCAACCAATTGGCAATATAACAAGCTTTTTGAGGAAAAAATCAAACAATACCAAGATGGTAATGGAAATAAATAAGAACTTTGAAATGTGAATCAAAATTCATTTCAACACTCACCTTATGCTCTACCAAATATTCTATACGACAAAAGCTGGACATTTATCCAATATTCTTTGAATAAGAAGACAATCATACATTGTATTTCATATTAATTAACTTAGTTTGGTGACCAATTGTATGTTGTTTGAATATTAGTGCTAAATGTATTTGGTCTGGAATATTTACAATACACTCACTAGTCCAAATGGCCAATAGTTAAAATTCATCACTATTTAATGTTAGGCAGTTTGGAGTGAACAGAAAAACGATGAGACAAGTATGATAGGTACTTCGTACTATAAGATGGTCCAGTCCTTCTTCTCAACTTTTATCACACTCCCAGTGTGGTGAAAGTAAACTCGAATATAGTGAACTGTCAAATTATTTTATGGGAAACCACACATTGGTTTTGTAAAATACGAAAATCATACATTGGACGCATTAGTTGCACATTTTCCTTGAGTCATCTTTTATATAATCTATCATTCTTCTTGTTCCATTGTTATTCCGATTGCTCTCTGTTTTTATTCATGTTCTCTTCATTTCAATCTTCTGCTTTCAAGCATTATACTTCCAATTTATGCTAATTACTACTTATATCTTTTCGCATAAGTAGAGCACACTACACTGGCACGTATATATATTACATGGTTTAACTTAAAACTAGTGACAATGGATTAAAGCCTGAATGTTCATCATCATTGTATAAAGTAACAAAGCATTTAGACCTATTCAGTCTCTTGATAAAAAATTACGAATTTTCATAGCAAACCTCAATACTCTTGTGATTATATTGTCAAGTAAATGACCCTACCAGATACATATAACTTTGATGTGCACTTTTATAAGCAATTGATAATCATTCCTTGATAAAGGATCAAAATAATACTGAATAGCAGAAATGATGACTTTTGTAAATAACGCTTCTTAGATATTAATGATACTTTTATCATCAGAAATTTCGAAAATTGGTTGAAATAGTAAAATAATATTCATTACCTACTAACTTATACTTTATACGACTAATTAGTCTCACTACGATATACTAAGTCAGTGGATAGTTAAAAACTTTCATGTTTGTTAAAAATAACTTTACAGGTCAAGAACAGCTAAACTGTGTTACTTTTGTCAAAACTAACAGATGACATCAATGTCATTCGTACAGAAATCCAAAGCTTTCTTTACTACTGACAAATCATGATAACAAAGAGTGGTAGATAATAACCAAAACATCTTGACATATACGACATTGGTCACTATGAAGCTATCAATCAATTGCAAATATGTCTTAACTTAAAATGTCTCTTCAATTGTTTTATATTTACAGTTTGAGTAATGATGGTTTTTCATTCAGTTTGACATCGTTTAATTAGGAATATATTGACAATATTTAAAGTAACGTTACACGATCCAACGGTTACATGACATCTGTAAGCTTGAAAGAAGCATTTCTACAAAGTCAACTTGTTGATAAAAATATCTATCCAATACTTTCTATTGTACAACTCATTTTTAATGCTCTGTAGTGACCTACTTTTATCAAGAGAATGCGATTGGTTTAATGGAAACAATCATTATTATAACCATTTGTACCAGTGATTATTTTACTGTACTCATTTGTTTGACTGCACTAAAGACATCCATTATTCCTGCTTTTTTGTTGTGACCTCGCGCGAATTCGGTTACGTTCAGTAGCCAAGCTTGTATCCTGGCACGATCTTGGTATTCTTTCGATACCACGAGATCGCCAGCAAACATATCTCGACTACATCCATTAACTGCCTTCTGATATTTGGCTTCCGGGGGATTTTATCGATATTCTGTACGCAACCTTCTTGTAGTGCTGTTCATAGTCTACCGCGACTCGACACCACGCTACAGCTCAAACCAAGAGGTGGAAAAATGAAGTGAACCCAAAATAGAATAAAACCTAATTGTTTTCTTGATCTAATTTTAAGATCTTAGATAAATCTGATTAAGTAATCGTATTGAAAGTTATTTTACGCTAATTAGTGTATAATGAAAGTGGGACTGTGCTATATTATTAACAGAATGATTCAGAATTCATAACAAATATGTATTTATCAGTATGGGATTGTGAAGATGATTGTGTTTTTTATTAAGATCATAAACCGATTGATGTTAAACCATTATTGAAAACCTGGAGGTACTGGACGACGGTTTCATCCTATTAGGGGCCTCCTCAGCGGTGCATATTCACGATCCTGCTTGTGGGGTAAAACAGACGTCCAGTGCTTTCAGGTTTTCAATGATGACCTAAAATCAATCAGTTCATGATCTTGCTGTGCTAATGAGATGTGACATCTTGGACCGATGCATATATGTGCCTGGTCCTACATTGTAGCTGACTGACTGACTGACTAGTTCAGTCATCAGAAAACATTGAATTATCTTATGAAATTGCTCACAATCGACGTTCTTTTGTTTAAACGTTCTGATCCTATAGTTAACTGCTTGAATATCTTGCTGAAGATCTCTAGGATTATAGCTCTGAACAGCCTACATGATTTGACAAACGTGGTTATTTATTTATTTATTTAATGCAAATTTATGAATGGCTCTGAGATACTTTTAGTATAATAGAAATTTGTATAAATTAAATAGATCAACAACTAACACACAACAGTACAACAGTTTTACATTGTTGACGATTTACATGCGATTGAAGAAAGGAAATAACTGTAAATAAACGTTGTTATGTGTATAGAACAAGGTAACCAATATAATAGATTTCAGTTATATGGTTAGATGTTAATGGTAACTAAAAATAACAATGTCGGTGAGAAACGAATAGAAAACTGTTTGAGATTATAATTTCTAACAGTTGATTATTCTAACCAATGGTTGGAGACTCTGAGTGACCTAACTTTGAATCGATCACAATGATGTTGGTGTATACACTCTCTGTCTTCCCTTAAGCTAAGAGATTAAAATCGCTTCATATCTTTCTTTCTACGAGCTATACCCTTATATATAATCTTTCTTTTATATTTCACTACCATTGATTTAACTACTTCTATGAATCCGATGTTCATGTTGTTGTGCCGATGAGGTATGACAACTTAGACCGATGCACATATTTACCTGGCCCTA